TGTGTATATATATATATATATACACATTGTTGTGGAATACTGATTATGTATCACCTTGACACTGTCCAATTGTTCATATCTTATGATATCCCTGGACGTCATCTTCAAGCTGACCTACTTCATATACCAGAACGAGGCACATTCTGATTGGTTATTCACTATCACATAATGATAGTGAACAGTATAACTTTGCATGTCCGCCGATGACAGGCGGGCCCACATCTTACAGACTTCGTGATTGCTTTCTGTTTAATGTCTGCCCATTAATAAATGACTTTATAAATCATACCCGCAAGACTTGTCTTTTAAACACCCTTTTCGCCGTGTTTCTGACTATCTTTGCCGCGACAAACAGGATCCAAAAGGACATGAAACATGACTTGAACAGGATCCAAAAGGACCTGAAACATGACTTGAACAGGATCCAAAAGGACCTGAAACCGAACTTAAACAGGACCCAAAAGGACCTGAAACATGAATTGAACAGGACCCAAAAGGACCTGAAACAGGACTTGAATATAACATAAAATGAACCTGAAACAGAACATAAGCAGGACACAAAAGGACCTGAAACAGGACTTGAGTAGAACCTAAAAGGACCTGAAACATGACTTGAACAGGATCCAAAAGGACCTGAAACAGGCCTTTAATAGGATCCAAAAGGACCTGAAACATGACTTGAATAGAACCTAAAAGGCCCTGAAACATGACTTGAATAGAACCTAAAAGGACCTGAAGCATGACTTGAATAGAACCTAAAAGGACCTGAAACATGACTTGAACAGGATCCAAAAGGACCTGAAACAGAACTTAACCTGGACCCAAAAGGACCTGAAACCATTCTTGAATAGAACCTAAAAGGACCTGAAACAGGACCTGAACAGCCAAAATGATTCGTTGCTTAAAGAAATACATTTTTCTGAAAATGGTCTGGTTCTGGACTCAGAGTAAAAAAGGAACCAAAACCTTCAAAAGAACTTCAGAAAGGCTGAAAACTATCGATTGTTGATGAGAACTTCTGGCTGCTTGGAAGCCAAATAAAAAGAAATGAGATGAGATATCTTTTTGAAGTTAAATGCTGTATTTTTATTTATTTATTTATTTTCATTTGAACGTATGTTCAACCATCAGTTTAACCAGAGGAGAAAACATAAAAACCCAGTGATTCCCAGGTAAGTTCCAGTGGTATAAAGCTGATTTTTCTTTCATTTCTTCAGTTTGTGAAGTTGCTGAGGCTATCGGTTCATTTTGCTGATGTTAACACAAACTAAGAGTCCAAAGGCCTGAAAGCAGACGAAGGTGGGTGTAGAGTCATTACGCCACACAGAAGGAACAAACCACCTTAAAAAGTTTAACTCGTCCCCAGGGTTTCTGTGGATTATTGCTAATGTCCACAAAAAACTTCTATAAAGTGTCACCAAGTCTGGACGGCAGAGCCATATTTCCTCACATTTTAACAGGTTTCTTGTACAGGTGTGTGTGTGTGCGTGTGTGTGTGTGTGTGTGTGTACGTGTGTGTGTGTGTGTGTGTGCGCGTGTACGTGTGTGTGTGTGTTGCACCTGTGTTGGAGTGTAAATCGTCGTTGTCCGACTCGTTGCCGTTCTGGAGGCTCATCATTATCTTCATCTTCTGTAGCTTTTGGAGCTCGGCCATGGCTGCTGCAGTCAGGCCTGAAACACACAAAACAAACTGTTAGATGTATTTTCACTGAGAACCAACAGGTCCAATTCAAACACGTTTACAACCCGTCCCAGTTAGATGTTTCATCGGTGACACAAGTGTTTTGTGGCTTCAAACATGTTTTTACTGTGATCTACTGAGAACATTTCAGAGGTTTCTATGGTTTTTATCAACAAATACTCAGTATTTATGATGTTTATCCTTTATAAAATTGGTGATTTTCTCTGACTTGCTGGATATCAACATCTAGACCAAATCCTAACCAATGGGAACCCAATGATCACAATCTGTATGCCTTATCCTCTTGGTTTCTGAGAATTGACCCAGAGTCCAACGTATTTTATCTTTAAACCACTTTGGTATCACTTCCTGTGTGAGCTGGTGCTCCATCATGATGGAAAATACTCAGATTATCACCAAACTGGGGCTGGGTTCTTGGAAGAAGTTGCTCTTGGAGGACAGTTTGATATTATTCACGATGATGTTTCTGGACAGAACCTCTAAGCAGGATGTTGACGCTCTTCTCGACCTCTCTTCTTGTTTTGACGTTTGAACAATCAGACGGACAATTATTCTGATTACCAGATATCTGCTGTCCGGTATCCTAATTCCAAAGAAATTCAATGTTCAGGGATTTATTTTACTAAAGTGACCCATTTGTCTGAAGGTTTTCACTTCACATTGCTGCAGCTGTTCAGTTCTGCTCTAATGAAAACAACTTTGTTCAACTAAAGCTCAGTTTGATGTTTTCTATGTTCTGAAAGTAGGGTGCAACATTTTTGGCCATAATTTCCAATGTGAGGCCATTTTGATTCAAAAAGCTGATTATAGACCTGTAGTACTCGTCTACATTGATGATTGGTGGACCTCTGTCAGAGTGACCAACTGGTTCTTGGTCATCGCCTTCACAAATGGCCTTTTTACACCGATCCCTCAGATTGGCTGAGAGGAAAGATCTGGGAAGAATCCTGGTGTGGGTTTTTTTTCTATTTACGGACGATGTAGGCTACTGGTACCATTCCGTGGGCCTAACCATAACCCAAATTAAATTAAGAACTGCTCTTGAACCCTTTAGAGTAAATTCACAAGCCTAGTCTCTATGTAAAGCTATTAATCTGGATTTTTAACTTCTGCAGTCATATTTTTTGTAATTGTAACTAATATTTAGTTATTGAAGTTAAAATACACTATAACCATTAACCTTTTTTTATTTTTTTAAACCGCATATCAAATAAAAAGGTTACTCATTTGGCTACACAGCTGTGGTGTCAGAATGAAGCTCAGAGCTGATTGGCCAATTCTAGTTAATTAATCACCTGTACCACAAACGAGTGGGGCATGTGGGGTTTGCCACATATTTTGGGCTCTGGAGAGTCTATAGATGAACCCACTTGGTCAAAAGAGGTGTCAATCGAAAGAAGACAACCAATCAAATTGTCTGAACAGCATATTACGCTGGTAGGCTACAAGGAGGGAGGAAGTAACCACAAACTGGGAATGTGCCGTGAGCGGTACATAGATGGTTGTACCTTGGTACAGTCATGTCTTGGAGGTCTACAGATCACTGGACTTCATGTCTTGATTTGTGCTCAGACATTCACTGTTGGCAAGGATCAGGTCGAATCTACTGAATCTACCTCATGAGGTAGAACCACTTAAAAGATAATCAGTTGAAACAGGAAGCACCAGAGCAAAATTATGAGTTTGATAGCAGATTTTTCAAAAATAATGCAGGTTGACACAACAAAAACTGAACCCAAAAATTCAATAAACACAGTATCAAACTTGCAGCCATGACTACAAAGTCTAATTTCATAATTCAGTTATTTACTCAGTTCAATATAATTATATTGAAATGTTTACATACGTTCCAATTCAATTTGATTTAAATCCAAGATATGACACAATCATMATCATCACAACAGTCTTCAGTGTTTTGTCTTTGAACCTCAACAATTCAAGTCAAACATTTCTCCCAGCTGACCACTCGTCCCAGGTCTCTACCCATCATGCTTTGCTGCGAGTTGTGACAGACTGACAGTAGGGACTGGTTTGTATTTAGTGTTGTTTCAGACACCTCTCGCCTGGTGTACATTAACTGATGCACTTGTACAGAAAAACTAAACTGACATGAAAAAAAAAACCAACAAAAAGCGGCCTTGTTGCTGTTCTTACACACTAACACAAACACACACACAAACACACACACACACACACTCTTTTGTGAGGACTTAGATCCCCGGCTCTGTTCACTGACCTGGAACTGACTTCTATACACAACAACCAGCAGAGTGAAAGAGATGACCCTCAGTGTGTGTGTGTGTGTGTGTGTGTGTGTGTGTGTGTGTGTGTGTGTGTGTGTGTGTGTGTGTGTGTGTGTGT